ACATGGAGTTGCTGAAGGTATTAAGAAATAGAGGAACTGTCCCCCATGTAGAAATCCTTATCCAAACCACCTGCTGATGTCCTGTGTCACACCCACAAAATGACCTGAAATCTTCCAATTATGAGAAGAGCTACAGCTTCAGGAAACATTGATTTAGGACCTTTTCATTGTAAAAATGACAAATTAAGAAATTATTTGTCATTATCAACGGTAACCTCTGATCAATACCTGTACTGGAAAGCAGGAAATGTAAGGCTTTACTCCCACTGCCTAACAGTTAGAATCATTTAGAAAATGAGCATCAGAGAAAAGATGCTTCCAAATCTGTTTCCAAATGCTCAAATGTAACAGAGTGGATCATTTCTAAAATGATGTAACCTGGAGAAAAGTTTATAATTCAGTTCATTTCTAGCCTGCACAACAGATTCAGTAGATCATTAACAAAGATAACAATAGAATATAATTGATAATTGATTTCTATAGATTAGCTGTAGGCTTAAACATGTATAAGCTAGTTTCAATGTAGGCATTAACATTTCTACAAAACTGTATTTCTCAAAAAGTATCAAATACAGTGTGATAGTGGTCATTTGTCGTGTTGATGTTTCAGGCACTTAAAAATTACACGTGGATATCCAACAGCTGCAGCACACTGCAAAATAAAGCAAAAACTGGCAGCTATTTTTAATATATGTAAAATTTTCTTAATGGTTTGTTTGAAATAATATAAAAGTGACACCGCTTAAACACTACAAAGTATAAGGCAGCCTAATTCAATTTATTTTCTAAAAGTGTACTTTACACAGTCATTCATCTTAAGAGGGCTCCAATCACCAAGTTTCAGAGAATATTTAACAACAAGGAAAGAAGGTAGACCCCTGCCACTGAACAAAAAAGCTAGGGATGCAAGCAACCAACAAGCAACCCTAGCTTTTTTGTTCAGTGGCAGGGGTCTGCCTTCTTTTCTTGGTCAAGAAGAGAAAGAGGGAGAGAAAAGGGGACTTCGCTGTAGAAATATTTGGCCTTGGAGTCAGGACTCTTAAGATGTGCTAGTGATCTTGGATCGATGCCTTTTTATTTTCTTTCAGGAATAAATCTGAGCAATGGAATGGCTTGCGATCGTCCAGCCAACCAGCCATATCAGATTTATCAGAAAGAAAGAATGAAAGCTGGCTCAGAGGACTCCTGCAGAGGCTGAGTGGCAGGTTGCTGGTAAAACACACACACACACACACACACACACACACACACAGAATATGCTTAGTGGTGGAGGGGAAAATATATATTCACATGTGTAAACTCAATAAACAATAAGATAGAAAAAGAGAATCCATAGTGATGGGAAGGGTGAGTGCATAAGACAGATGATAAATAGTACTTCTATTTAAGAACCAAAGGGATGAAAGCTCATGAATATTAAATATCTGAATCCACTTTAAGGAGGAAGTATGATTTTCCCTCAAATGAAGGCAAACTCTAAAATTCTGCCAGTGCAAACTTACTGTGTTCACATTAGAATTTAAAAAAAAAAAAAATGCAACTCTTCCATGAAACACATGCCATGGGAAATATTCTAATGTAATTTCTTAATTAAGACGCATTTCCAGTGACTAAATGAAAATATATATACAGCAGTAAGTGCCTTGATTTTTCAGGAAAAAACCTGACTTTTGATGCATGCATGATTAAAATAAATAAAAGCAGTTTCATTTGAGAAGAAAATCAGAAAACAGGAATCATGACACAACCAAGAATCTTTCAAGTCTTATCACAACAGTCCATATCAGTGATGTTTTCCAGTGATGTGCAGCTATAATAATGAGCAAAATTTATTAAGCTTTCTGAAGAAATAAATAATACTTTCTAAGAGACCCCCTTTACATATCTAAGTTCAAAATTAAAAGACAAGGAACAATGTACCCATGGTGTGCCCACAGCAAACACATGTAGGAAGTATTGATGTGTGGTTTCTTAAATACCATTTTCATCTTCTGACTATTTCATCAACCTTTTCCTTCCGACTGCAAAAACAGCCCCTAATATTGGAGACATGTCTTAAATAAGTAGGAAAACGTGTGTTCTTTTACAGGATGAAAAGCAGGACTAATAAGATACTTGCAAATAAGAAGTAGGAACTGGACTGGTTAAGGCACGGAAGGCTGTCATATCGCTTCCATACAGTCCATTCCAATACAAAGGTACCAGCGATTGCTTTTCAGGAAGACAGAAATTTGGGGAGCACTCCTCTCAGTGGTGAAGGCTTTACAGCAGCCATGGAAAGGCCCTTGACGGTCATATTTCTCGGTAAAATAAATCACTGGGAAAAACAATCGCCTTCTCTAAAGCTGATCTTTCCCCCCAAGCAAAGCAGCAAAGGTCCTCTCAGCTACAACTGCGTGAAGAACCACCGCAGACCCACAGGACGGTCGCCCCGGTTCCCACTCGGTCCACGCGGAGCAGCAGGTGAGGCGCGCCCGCCGCTCCCCCGCTCCGTGCGCTGGGAAGCGGGAGCCCGCTGCCGCCTCGGCCTTAGTTTGTTTCATCTGAAAGCAGTTCGCTCCGCACCTCGCCCGCGGCAGCTTTGGGGTGCCTATCCGCCCTCAATTCCTCCTGCGGACCGAACAGACTCTCGGGCTGCTCCTGGGAGGGAGGGGGGGTGCCCTGCGGGACGGGCCCCGGGCCGGCCACCGCACACACGCAGGGTCTGCGGGACCCACGGCCGCTCGGTCCCCCGAAGCGCCGCACGGGGCCGCCCAGCTCCCCCCGGGGTGCAGGGCGCGGGGCGCGGGGTCCCCGGCCTGACAGTTCCCCTGGCGCCTTAGCCCGCCCGCGGGTGCGGAGACCCCGGGGCGCGCCAGTGGCTCTCCCGGCCCGCTAATCCCCGCGCTCAGGGGCGCTGTGGGTCTGACAATCCGCAGGGGGTGGGAGTGGGATGGGGAGGTGAGGGGGGAGTGGGGTGGGGAGGTGAGGGGGAGTGGGATGGGGAGGTGGGGGGAGTGGGGTGGGGAGGTGGGGGGGGAGTGGGGTGGGGAGGTGAGGGGAGTGGGATGGGGAGGTGGGGGGAGTGGGGTGGGGAGGTGGGGGGGGAGTGGGATGGGGAGGTGGGGGGAGTGGGGATGGGGAGGTGGGGGGAGTGGGGTGGGGAGGTGGGGGGAGTGGGGTGGGGAGGTGGGGGGAGTGGGGTGGGGAGGTGAGGGGGGAGTGGGGTGGGGAGGTGAGGGGGGAGTGGGGTGGGGAGGTGAGGGGGGAGTGGGGTGGGGAGGTGAGGGGGAGTGGGGGGCGGGGAGATGGGGGGAGGAGAGGAGACCAGCTGCAGTGCTAATTTGGATCACGTTCCTGCAGAAATGCTGAAAAGGGCTTTGGACACAGCTCAGCCCCAGCCGCACAGTCAGGAGCACAGCGCCACGGGGTCCCCCCGGCTGAGACCCCTCCCCTCTCCCCCCCCAGGTCCCCTCCGCCAAGTCTGCGCGGCTGTTTGAAGGGGTCCCCGGGCATCACCCAGCCGTGGAGGGGTGGGCAGGGGCTCGGAGGGAGAGGGGGGAGAGGGAGAGGAGAGGGGGTGAAAAGGGAGGTCCCTAAGAGGCCGCCTGGAACCCCCAGTCCCCCTCTGGTGGGACTCCGTGTGCGGGGAGGGGGGGGAGTCAGAGGCCGGGACCCGCGCACACTCAGACCGGGACCCGCACACTCAGACCAGGACCCGAACACACTCAGAGGCCGGGACCCGCACACACTCAGACCGGGACCCGCACACACTCAGAGGCGGGGACCCGCACACACTCAGACGGGGACCCGCACACACTCAGACGGGGACCCGCACACACTCAGACGGGGACCCGCACACACTCAGACCGGGACCCGCACACACTCAGACGGGGACCCGCACACACTCAGGCCGGGACCCGCACACACTCAGAGGCGGGGACCAGTGCAGAAGGCGCGCTGGTGCCACCGGAAGGTCAAGGCGAAGGCGGGGATGTAACAAGGTCCTGGGGCCATCCCCCCCCCCCCGCCCGAACCCCCCTCCGCGCCCGGGGCTCCCTCTCCCGCCGCCTCCCCGCTCGGCTGGGCTGCTCCCCACGAGGCCCCGGCCGCACGGGCACCGCCTGTCCTCAGGCCTCTCCATCCCGCTCCCTCCGGGACTCAGCGGCGGGAACTTTGGTCCCGGCTCCGCAGGTGCCTCGGGAGCCGCCAGCCCCCGCGCGGCCTCCGCCCGTCCGGGCAGAGCACGCACCCCGCGCCCCGCGCCCCGCGCCCCGCGCCCCGCTCCCAGCGCCTCGCGCCCCGCACCCCACGCCCCGCGCCCCGCGCCCCGCTCCCAGCGCCTCGCGCCCCGCACCCCGCGCCCAGCCCCCGCGCCCCGCACGGCGCCGCCCCGGCCCGGGCGCTCCAGCCCCTCGTGCGCAGCGGGAGCCGCCGGCTGCGGGCGGAGGAGCGGGAGGACGCGGCCAGGAGCAAGTTAAGTTCGGGAGGACTCCCCCCGGGGCCGCCCGCCTCTGGCTCCGCGTCCGCCCCGTCACTGTTATTTCCCCGCTTTTCTAAGCCGTCAGGCTCCCTGCACCTCGATCCCGCGCCGGAGGAGGCCGGTTCCGGCGGAGGCGGGGGCCGGGCGCACACAGGTGCACAGCCCGCCCGCCCCGCTCCTCCGCCGGCCGGCCGGCCCCTCCCTCCCCCGGGCCGCCATGGGGTCCGGGCGCCCCTCCCGCTCCCCCCGGGCCGCCATCGGGGTTCGGCGCCCGCGCCCCGCACCGGGCGGACGGAGGGACCGGCCTCGGCGGGCAGGGAGGGCGGAGAGGGGTTCCGGGGCGCACGGCGGGGTGTGTGTTTCCACCAGAAATAAAACAAACGGCCGCGCACGCACAGGGCAACTTTGGGGCCACTTTGGGGCCGGATGGGAGGCGCCGGGAGCCCGGGGCACCGGACCCGGCGGAGCGGCCCTCGGCCCCGGAGAGCCGGGAGCGGCCGCCCGGGCCCCGCCGCCCCGGGGACGGGGTCGCACCCACCTGCCTGCGCCGCGCCGCGCCGGAGGGAGCCCGCGGCCGCCAGGAGGCTCAGCCAGACGCGCAGCGCCGTGGCCGCCTGCATCTTCGCTCGGCGCCCGCGCTCACATGGCCCCGGGCGTCGCCGGCGGGGAGAGGTGCTCGGGTCCGAGGCAGAGCTCCCGGCCGGGCTGCGGTGCTGTCCCCGCGCGATCGGTCGTCCGGTCCCCGCTCACTGTCCGCTCCGCTCCCTCCGGTCCGGCGACGCGGGACGGGAACGGGGCGGGGACGGCTCCCCGAAAAGTTGCTGCTGGAGGCGGCGGAGGCGGCGGTCCCGGCCTCTGGCCCGGCGGGCTGCGGGGCTCGGTGTGCGGGGCCGGACCCCGGGCTGCGGGGCTCGGACCCGGGCTGCGGGGCGCGGTGATCAGGGCCGGACCCCGGTCCGATGGGGGAAGCGGGGCGGCCGGCGGGCTCCCCCGGAGCCGCGGCTCCGCTGTCCGCGCTCCCGCTGTCCGGCCGCGGCGGTGTCCGCTCCGGCGTCCTCCGCTCCGCCCGCGTGGGCCGCGGACTGAGGAGCAGCCGCCCCGCAGCGCAGGGAACAAATCAATGAAATGAAGGTGCAGGGGCCGCGGGTGCAGCCCTCCGCCCGCCCCAGCCGCTGGCCGCAGCCGCTGGCCCCGCCCCGCCCGCCCGAGGCCACGCCCCCGCCGGCCCCGCCCCCGCGGGGAGCGCTCATTGGCTGTGCCGCCGCCCAAAATCCGCCGCCGGGGAGCGGGGAGAACACCTGTCCGGGCGGAGGAGCGGGGCCTCCGGGGAGGGGAGCCGGGATTGAAAGGGCCCGCGGAGTACCAGACCACCGGGGGGGATGCTTTTTAAAAATATATATATATATTATGAATTTTTTTTACAGAGAGGAAGGGAGAGGGATAGAGAGAAACATCCATCAGCTGCCTCCTGCACACCTCACACTGGGGGATGTGCCTGCAACCAAGGTACATGCCCTTGACTGGAAGTGAACCTGAGACCCTTCAGTCCGCAGGCCAACGCTCTATCCACTGAGACAAACCTGTTTCAGCTGGAGGGGATGCTTTTTAAAATATATATATTTTCTGGATTTTTTTTTTTTACAGAGAGGAAGAGAGAGGGATAGAGAGCCAGAAATATCAATGAGAGAGAAACATCCATCAGCTGCCTCCTGCACACCCTCTACTGGGGATGTGCCTTCAACCAAGGTACATGACCTTGACCCAAATCGAACCTGGGACCCTTCAGTCTGCAGGCCTATGCACATCCACTGTGCCACATGGGTTTTGGCAGAAAATATATATAATATAATATATATATATATATATATATATATATATATATATATACTTTTTTTCACACTTTTTACCCCATTGCCCCATGGTGCTCATCTAAAGACCATCCTTTGCCTAGAAAAAGGGAAAAGAAAACGCTGCCTCAGACATAAAGCCTCCACACTTTGGTCCCCCATCCCGCTCCACAACCAGACATCAGTGTGAAAACTGGTTCTGTGCACCTGGCAGCCTCTGCAGTGGAGGGAGTCCTAAGGATATGATCACCTGCCTCCCCTCTCTCCTCCTGTTCCCGCCTCCCACACTGACCCCACTGGTCCGACTACAAGTCCACAGTAGGATTACATCCCCCTCAGCTTTTTAAGTCCACGCGTCTGTTCACTTTTTCCGTAGACCCTTGGACAGCTTGGTTTGGGGTTCCTTCTAATCCAAAGCTACCAATTTGGTTACAAAGGGCCAGGAATTGCTCCAGGTCTGAGTTATTCAGTCTGCAAGAACCTGAAATGGCCCTCTCAGAATAGAACCAGCCTCAAAGGATGACCTGCATTCTCCAATGAACCCAGCTTTCGGTGTGCAAGTTCACACGCCCCAATCAGTCCCCAGGTCACTGCTAGCTCTGGCAGGGTCTGGGCTTTTCTTGATCTAAAATGTCCTGGCATTTGCCGGAAACCGGTTTGGCTCAGTGGATTAGAGTGTTGGTCCAGGGACTGAAAGGTCCCAGGTTTGATTCTGGTCAAGGGCATGCACCTTGGTTGTGGGCACATCCCCAGTAGTGGGTGTGCAGGAGGCAGCTGATGGATGTTTCGAGCTCTCTATTCCCTCTCTCTTCCTCTCTGTAGAAAATCAATAAAATATATTTTTAAAAATGAAATGTCCTGGCATTGGGTTCTATCAGAGTACATATCGCTTGCCTATTGCAGCTCAGAAACTGTACCCTGAGGAGCCAGAATCTCGTGCGGGTAGTAGTTTTACTGATTTGCTATTTGCACAGGCACACAGTGAATTGTTTTCTTTTTTCCGTTTCTCCCGGATCAGCAAATGCATAAATTAAAAGTAACCGGAGAACTTAAAAAATTAAGCCACCCTGCCTCCTCACTCAGCATGTGAGACCTTCCCACTCCTCCCCCGCCTCCTTTATCTACAGCCCTGTCCCGGCGGAATTTCCATGGCGCTGAGAACAGAGGGAAGCAGCAGTTTGAACCCAGAAGCCCGAAGCCTTCCCTTTCTGAGACCCACATCAAGTGAGAGGCACAGAGAAGAGGCCAGTAGACAAGCCCAGCACACTGTTTTACAGAGAAGCAGCCTGGGGCCTGGAGAAACCAAGCCCAGAGCCCAAGGTGGCGAAGTGATGATGGTACTGAATTCAGAACTATGCACTCTGCTCTTTGCCATTGTCTTTGTTTTCTATTTTTATCTCTATCCACCCTCCCCCTTTGTTTTCTTTCATTCAGTCTCTTCTCAGCCCCCTTTCCTTAAATCCCTTTTGGCTTCCTCTGAGGACTCTCAGGTACCTCTTTTCCATGAGAGCTAGGTACTTCCTTTTAAATGTCCACTCTGTCCCCAGAAAAACAACTTAAGTGATTAAAACAAACAAAAACTTCTTGCTTTGGGAAAATTTTAGATATCGATGTGTGTTTGTTTTTAAAGTCTTGTTCATAAGAGTTGTAAGGAGTGAAGAAATACATTGTGTATTTTAGCTTACATTGAGGAGAAAATAAAAATACTTAATATTTGGGTTTTTCTCTACCTGTGTCCATTGTGATAATTTTTACTCCCTCATCAATGTTATAGTTTTTCTGTGGCAGGAACTCTCCTATATACCTTGGTCTCACTAATAATAATTATTGGTGTCCTAGCTGGTTTGGTTCAGTGATTAAAACAAAACGAAACCTTCTTGCTTTGGGAAAATTGCTATTCCGGGGACAGGATGGAAATTTAAAAATAAGGAGCTTTCAGTGGATAGAGCATTGGCCTGCAGACCAAAGGGCCCTACCTTTGATTTCAATCAAGGTCACATGCTCTGGTTGTGGGCTTGATCCCCAGTAGGAAGCATGCAGAAGGCAGCCAATCAATGATTCTCTCTCATCATTGATGTTTCTATCTATCTCTCTCTCTCTCTCCCTTCCTCTCTGAAATCCATAAAAACATTTTTTTATAAAAGATTTTAAAAAATAATTATTGGCAAACTAATTTTAACAATATTCAGTGGTTTAAAAAAAAACACTATAGTCTATTTTGGGGGAATGCTACATAGCCCATACTATGTATCCACCAATTAAATTACTTGGCACAACTATAATTGTTTATTTGTTGTTCCTTGACACCATTTTCCTGGTTCTAACTGTTCAAACAATAATTGATTCTTGGCCAAAACTGGGTATCTGATCAGCAGCCTATAAAGTAAATTGATATGAAGCTCTACCCAACAGCATATCCTACCTGCTAAGGTGACTGGAATACCCAATCAGAGTCTAGTCCAGGGTAGAAGGTGCTACCTTGGGTGGCCAAACCAGAGGAGTGAAAACCAGAGGCCATGAGTTAGAGTCAAGATTTAATCCTCTATGTGTCTGCTCTCATTGGCTTCCCATACAAACTGAGTCATCCTAAGGAAGGAACATCAGCGTAGGAGACATTGGCCACCTGATGTGGAAATGACCTGTTAACTGGGTTGCTAGAGGATTATATGATGAATCTCTTCACTTTCCCATGTAGCCTGATAATACATCTATACCAGTTGAATTAACTAAAATATGTTGTTCTTTATAATCTTGAGGAAAAAAAACCCACAAGTGAATACCAAGAACATGCCTTTTCTAGGAACTACCCTTTCCTCAGTTTGTCATTTTTAATTTGGATCTGCTTCCATGGTAAAACAACCCCTACTTTCTTTTCTAAATTGGACCAATCAAAATACTAAGTTGGACCAATCAAAATTCTTGGTCACTGTTGATTGGTTGAGAGATTGTCACTCCCCCTGAGTCTCTTCTCTGGGAAGTTTGTGCATGGGAAGAAAAGAGTTAATTCTCAGTCATTCACTGGTAGCTTTTGAGCTATAAATAGCCACTGCTGGTCTGTTGCCTTTTATGAAGAGACTAGAGGAGTCTGCCAGCTTGTCCCAATGGGGACCCATCAGGCTGGGCCTGTGGGAAGAGGGGTCATAAGAAGTTGGCCAGCCATCCCCACCCCCAATCAGGGTGTTGGGGACTAATTGGGGTTGGGGCCAGCTGGGGGGAGGGGCTGTAAGACATTGGCCAGCTGGACCCTCCCCTGATCAGGGTGTTAGGGACCAATTGGGGGCCAGGCTGGCAGGGGGTGCCGATCAGGCCAGGATCAGGGGGTTGACTGTCACAGTGTGTGTCATAGCCAACAGTCATTCTGGTCATTCAGCTGGTCCAGTTAAAATTATATATATATATGAATGATCAGGCTATAATGATGAAGAATGAAGCTGCCATTTTAAAGGATCAAAAGTCCAGATTGGTCTGGAGAATGCTCAAAATCCTCTTTTGTCTTAGTTGTTCAAATCCCTTTTTGCTTATGCTAGTTTAATTTTTTGTTACCTGAAACCTAAATAGCATGAAATGATAAAAGAACTTCTTCAACTTAAGTGCTATATAAAGGCCAAAACACCCTTTGTGGAAGATCTCTTGGTAATCAAATTTGTGTCACTTATATGTCCATATTCTTTAGTTCCCCTTCTGAGTTTTTCTTGATTTCCCATGACTGAAGCCATAACACCAATATGTAAATATCTTTAGCCCTTTCCCTTCCCAATATTCCCTTCTTACCT